TGTGGTGTCCAGAACTGGACACAGTACTCAAGATGAGATTTAACCAGTGCCATATGGAGAGGAACTAGCATTTCATGTGATTTGGAAACTATACTTCTGTTAATACAGCCTAAGATAGCATTTTCCTTTTTTTTTTTTGCAGTGACATAACACTGTTGGTTCATATTCAGCTTGTGATCTACAACAATTCTAAGATCCTTCTTGTATATACTATTACTGAGAAGAGTATCTGCCATCTTGTAACTGTGTGCTTACCCCCCCATCAGGTGTAGAACTCTGTGTAATGATCACTCTCCCTAAAGAGATGTGGATCGTGGGTCACGGAGTCACCATGGGTGCAAAACTACCATCTTTATTGCCTGAGGTAGGTCATTTAGGCCTCAGGAGTGCATAGTACAAGTCCCATGGACAAGCCTGATTCTAAAAGTAACCTTTCCTTACTTTCAAAGCAATAAACCATTGACTGTGTTTCCTTAGAATGCATAACAGCCTTACCAGGTAGGACCAATTTTCAGTAGCAACTTTGTGACCTTCTCAAATCCACACTAGATTCAGATGAAAGTCCTTCAAAAGACCAGTTTTCCTTTGAAGAATTATTTGATTTTATTAAGAAGATAAAGTACAGTAGTTTTGTTAGAACATAGTTGTAGCTTTAAGGCATAAGCAATTTGCATATCCATCTACTACAATGATTAAATAAATCTGCTATTTCTAAGTAAAATAAAAACAACTAAGTCTGTGCTAAGTAATCATCTTTGCTCTGGCTACATGTTTGCATCTAGAAGCTGGGTTAATTCTCCTCCCTCTTCTTCTTAAAAAAGGAAATCTCTCTTTCTCACATTCCACAACATTCCCCACAAGTGAAATTACTTTCACATACATGAACAACCATTTTTCTAAATGCTTTTGGACCATCCTCCTTATTCCAAGGTGTAAACCAATTAAGTCCAAATGGGTGTAAGTAGTATAAGGGTCCCTTATACTACTGGTGTAACACAGTTTACCGCCCATTTCACATGAGAAGATTCCAAACCAGGTGGCTTATCTTTTTCCCAAATATAGCGGTATGTTGTTTTGTCTCTTCTCTGAGCGATCTTGCATCCTTATCTCCGTGCCAGGCAAAGCAACCCTGCACAACAGTCTCATGAGAACATTCCATTGCTTTTAAATTCATCTTTACAGGAGCTAACAAACTCCATCTTTGTATAACTACAATTCCCAGTTCCCTTCAATTTCCTTACACTCTGCACTTATCCCTGTGAAACTGCATTCTGTTGTTTCCAGCCTGGTGCTCGAGACAAACAAGATCTTCTTGAGCTTTGTTTCTGTCTTCCAGGGTATTAGTTATTCCACCCAATTTTGTGTCATCTGCAGATCTGATAAGCATTCATTGCACCTATTCAGAAAAATGCTCTCTCTGATCTAGAAGGCATTATGTAGCTATCAAATGTAGTGCCAATTTTGAAATGAGAGAATGGCTTTATAGTACTGCATGAAAAATATAGCACTTCTGAATATCTCTGGGGCTGTTTGGAGCCTCAGGATGCATACTTTGCATATTTTTGATATAAAATATTATTTCTCTTTTTGTCAGCATTCTCAATACTCTGTCAAAATAGCAATTCTATGATGCTATTCTTTCCTGCTAGAATTAAGAGGCCATCTCTGTATCGTATGAAAGCTGCAACGGCTAATCTTGCTCCAACTGTATGATCCAAATGTATCCAATGCATACCACGAAATAAAAAAGGAACTTTTTAATTAGTGACAATCTGCTGTTGCTAATGATGTCACTTCTGCTACATCAATGGAACTCTGCAGGAGGCCATCAACTACTTTACTGCTATGTAGTGCAGGAGAAAAATTTCTAGAGAGAAAAGGAAAGAAACACATCTTTCTCTGTCTTGAAGGCTTTACAAATGGCACTGGGTGTTTGCGAATGGTATACTTGGTTGTCAAACTGGAACCTAACATTGATAAAGGAGGGAGATGCAATATATAAAAAGCTGTACCTTGGGCCACAAGATCTTTTTAATTCTGGGTAGATGAGATACATAGGTAGCTAGGTAAATACACTGAAGTTCATAGATGGCAAAGCAGCAGGTCAGATTGTACCACATGGTTGTCTTATGGCACTTGTCTGGGAAAATCACCATGATATCAGGAGACACAAATTAGTAGAATAGCAAAACATATCTCTGGGATCAACCTTTACATATGTATCTCTTTCTTAGTATATGTGGAGCAGGGATGGATGGAGTAGATTGACTTAGGGTTTTGGAATGAGATGGACACAGACCTGCTTGTATAAGAAGAAGAACAGTAAGCTAAAGCTAACTAGGAGGTACATTTGATTTTTATGAGCAATATAAAACATCAATCATTAGAATGCTGCCCCTGTTCTTAATAGATGATATATTTAGTGAAAGGATTGGGATTCTAGCATTGAATTTTGGGATTTAGTTCTTATAGTTACTTTACATAATATATGATACTTTCGGATCCATTGGGAAGGAGTGGAAATACACATACAGTGGTGCCTCGCTTTACGACTGCCCCGTTTAACGACAAAATCGCATTACGACGAAGTTTTTGCGATCGCTTTTGCGATCGGAAAATGATGTTTCCTATGGGGGAATTTCACTTTGCGATGATCGGTTCCCTGCTTCGGGAACCGATTCTTCGCAAAACGATGATTTTCCAACAGCTGATCGACGGTTTCAGAATGGCTGCCGGGTAAACAAAATGGCCCCCCGCTGTTTTCTGGGACAGTTTCCTTGCATTACAGGCACCGAAAATGGCCGCCCTATGGAGGATCTTCACTGGACAGTGAGTTTCAAGCCCTTTGGAATGCATTAAACAGGTTTTAATACGTTTCAATGGTTTTTTTTTCACATTACGACGTTTTCATTCTACAGCAATTTCGCTGGAACAAATTAACGTCGTAATGCGAGGCACCAATGTATTCCCCTTTCCAGATTTAACTTCACTAATTACAATGCAGAAGAGCAGAGCATGTGAAAAGTATCTCTGTCTCTACATATGTATTCATCTTGATTATTGATAAAACAAACTGTGAAACAAACTTGCACACCACATAACACATACAATTATATACTTGTAATAGTTAAAGTAGTCTCAGTAGTATAATATTTAATGCAGATCGGACTACTTATGATTCAGCTGGTTATATTACTGGATAAAGCAATTTGTCTCCTACTCCTTCATCTGAGAATCTTCTCTCGTACAAATGAGAAATGCTTTCAAGGAAGAAACAAAGTTTGGTTGGCAATGTTATGCTTCAAGGATTAATGTGCCTTGTATCTACAAATGTAAGAGAGAAGATACAGATATGATCTAATGACCCAGTGTTGGCAGGGAAGATTAGGAGGCGCCTCTATGAGCCCCATGAGCATGTATACTTGCTATACTAAATGCCTTAAGCTTATTGATTTGTTTGCTATGCCCACCTATAGCAAGTGCGTATCTTAAAACCTAGCCAGCGTTGTTTAATGGAGAATCAGGTTCATTTTTTTTACTTCAGTGAAAGTAAATCATCAATCATGAGCTTTTTGGATGTCTCCTGGAATACTGTACCAGTTTGTCAGCATCTATTAGCAGCAAATACAGTGGTGCCTCGCAGAACGGGCGCCTCGTAGAGCGATGAATTCTCTCTACGAGGCCGTTTTTGCAATCGCAAATGCGATCGCAAAACGGTGCCCGTATAGGTGGGAAATTGCCTATACTTTCCTTTCGGCTAAGACTTTGTATATTCACCTGTACTCTTGAATCACATCCTCAAAACCCTACCATCACACTTTTAATAGGAATTCCTAACATGATAGCTTCCAAATACTCCCACAAAAAATTAGTAGTCAGAAAAACTAGAATTATTAATATCTTTGTAAAGGAGGGATTATGACTTGACTCTTAAAGCTATGTACCCACCTAAGCCCTGATCCCTCGACATATTATAGTACAGAAAATAGACTATGTGAACATGATCTCTTTTGTGCATAGTTTATCACAATGCACTATTGTCTTTTATAGGCACAAAAAGAGTGGTTACTTACCTGTAAATATGGTTCTCCAAGTGATACTCTGTGAATTCACACATTTGGGTCTTGTCCGCGCTTGCGTGGAACGTTCGGAATATTCTAGAGCTTCTTATCTGAAAGATCAAAAGGATACATTGCCCCTACTGCGCATGAGCAACCTCCCTTTCCCTCCAGTTCCACACATCCGTCATCGCCAAACCAAGGCTTGCACCTGGCAGCAGTGGAATACATTATAAGAGAAAGTGGGGAAACTTAGCATCTATTTGTGTACATGCAGTCTCTGGAATGATGCTGGGGATGTGACTGTTGAAAGGAACAACCAAAATGAACTTGGTCATGTGTGGAATACTCCACACATCCCTCAGCCAGCATACCTCTTGGAAACACTAAAAGATAAGTGCCACAAAATATGAACAACATTTGTATATACCACTGTGAATTCTTCTTTTTGTGGTTGTTGAAAGGTTCTTAAATATGACTGGTCCTAAACATATTTGAGTATAACTGAAATGTAAGATTAAAAATTGCATCGCACATAATATTTTTATGTTTTTAAAAAGCTGAGTTCTTTACTAGGTCACAGTCTTTTGCATTACGCTATTTTTCTCATGTAGTTTAGTGATGTTGAGTGTTTTTCCTCTGTAATTGCTGGATTCAAATTCTTGCCAAGGAATTCTATGGCCACATGTTGCTGGTGATATATTCAAGTTTACTAGACTGAGCACCAATGAGGAAAGTACCACAAGCTCCAGTAGTATATCTTATTTTTACAGTACTGAGGTACTTAATACCTTGTAACTGTATACTCATATCTACAGATTAGACATGGGTTAAAAATGAACACAGTTGTATAATATTGGAAGAAGGGCTATAGAAGAAGACACTTTTATATTCTTTCATCGTCTATATTCTGTATTCATAGTAATTTCTTAGGCAACAAAGTATATGATTAAATTTTAATAATAACAGTATCAAAGACAGGAAAAACTTAGACTTGCTTCCTTCTGTTGAGAGAGTTATAAAGAAACTGTGTTACAGTTGTTAACCCTAGGAAAATGGGTTGAAAAAACAAGCTTTACAAGTTCTTTCTAATAAGTCAGAATTCCATTGAGGAGTACAGCAAGATATCTTAGATATACTTCAAGAGATTGTTCCTCCATTTTTTTCCCTCCAACATACCTTCATTTTGTCTATGAAGCCACATCAGGCAATTCAAATAACACAGTCATGTCATTAGAATGCTGAATTAAAGCAATTCTGGTCTCAAACAGAGGGCAGGTTAAAATGTTCCTTTTCTCACAGACCGAATTAATGTGGGCACACATCCAATTTTACTACTGGAATTTGACAGCATCAAAGAACTGAAATTCTGCAGGCTGTTTAATCTATTTAAGCTACAGGACTGCCCATTAGCCTTTCTTGTCGAAGAGCAATCAACCTCCGGAACCATCTTTCTTCTGCTTCTTCCTTGTCAACAAACAGCTATAAGAGAAGAAGAAGAAAAAAATACAGTTTACTTAAATATCATAACATGGCAGGAATTCATGAACACTGGAAAAACCTTGTTGAACTCATTGTCAGAAACTTTAAGCAACCAGTAGTAAAACAGGAATGGTACACTCAAATGAGTAACATAAAATTCAGATTTTATCTCCCTGCAGCCCCCATGGTTGTTTTAACATTTGTCAAATGTTGTTGTCATCTCTATCAGAACTTAGGTGAGGAATTGTGTCCTAGAACATTTATATGTGTATGTCCCAAAGCATATACCAAATTTCTTTTCTATAACTTTAAGTAACCACATCTGGTAGCCACACACTTGGGCAGACTTCAACCGCAGCACCAATATTTGCAAATTAATCAAATTTCTGAATTCTTCATGCACTTTCTTAGATTCCACAAATACCCTTGCTGTGTCAAGGCTAAATGAAGGACAATATCAGCCCATATGAGCCTCACTGGATTTTAAGATTTTCTGGAGAGGCCCTCAATTCAACCACCCTCACAGGCTGTTAGGTGAGGATATGACAGGGAAGCTTTTCAATGGCGGTTCCCAGGCTATAAAATGTTCTCCCCCAGGAGGTCAGGCTGACCATCTCCCTCCTGTCCTTCCACTGAAAAGCAAAGACCTTCATTTTCAGGCAGGCATTCAATTGATTTGGACAATTACGTGGTACTATGCTGTGTTCTATATACATTTTTGTCCTATTAATCTGAGATATATACGTTGTCTTTTTAAACAGCAATTTTAATATTGTTTTTACTAGTTTTAGTGTTTTATTTCATTGTCCATCCATTTTGAGAAAGGTGGAACATTAGTTAATGAAACGATAGACAGATGGATGGATGGATGAATGTATAGACAGACGGATGGACAGACAGACAGATAGAGTATTTTTCCATGTATAAGATGATACATTTGTCTAAAATATTTAGATTAAAAATTGAGGGTTGTCTTATACATGGAAGGAGGGGGGAGGGATCAAAACACTTTGATGATTCCTGGTTTCCCCCTCCACTTTCTTTCCCCCTCCACTTTCTTGCACTTTTCCTTGCAAAAAAGTGTAAGGGGAGAAAAATACGGTACGTAGGTAGGTAGACAGACAGACAGACAAAAGATTGCTTAGCAAGGGACACCTTGTAGGCCCCTTCCAACTTCACTTTTATATGATTCTATGATACTGACACTTGCAGAGGCCTGCTGGATACCACACAGGAAAAGACCCTCTTCTGTATTCTCGAAGGCTTTCATGGCCTGGATCCGATGGTTGTTGTAGGTTTTTTGGGCTGTTTGGCCATGTTCTGGAAATAGCCTGAAAAACCTACAACAATCACTCTCTCCTGTGTTGATATTTATTGGAAGTATTTAAACTGTTTTTAGATGGAGGTGATTTTAATGATTTTACAGTTATACCTGTTTTTATCTGCTACTGTTGTTTTTCGTATGATTTGTGTCACCTACCATGAATTCTATCGTGGAAAGGCAGGGTAGGAATATAAAGTCCAAGCCTAATTGTAACAGACATCTTGGATCATTTTAGATTATCAAGTAATTTAGATTACATAGCTTCACAGAAGAAAAGTGTTCCTGGCCATAATTCTATTGGATTTGTGCAGTGTAACCCCAACATTGTATAACTGGTGTGAGCAATCATTTTAGTTGCCTGTCATTTGCTCAGACATACCCAGGTCATGCACTCAAGTTGCACACTTGGTTATGTGCCTTGGTATGCAACAGCTTGCCAGATAACTATGAAAATCACTCAGATAAGCTCCTTTATGCATGCACTATTTTCTCAGTAGGATTCTGGACTCTGTATGAATCAAAGGGATCTATATTATGGTCTATACAATAAGCAGGAACTGTTCAATCCAAATGAAGTATAGCAAGCCTTAATTAATGGCCACTATTTATGAGAAATCAATAAAAAAAAAGGTTCTATTACTGGGCTAAAATTACCTTTCTGAGCACTGTTCTGTTGTGAAACAAATCAGATGTAGGCAAATGTCTCTTTGCTCCACCATGGTTACTTCATCAAAATGTACCACTATGCCATTGGTACATAAGTAAGGATGATGCCTCTGGTTCTACTGGTACCATGGATCTTAAAACATACTTACTTTAAAGAAAAAAAATCAGGCTAAAATATACTTGAACTTCTACAGCATACAGTTTGAACCCTGACACTCATACCTTTTAGAGTTGCACTTTTTAACTCTCTATATCAGTGGTCCCCAACCTTGGGCCTCCAGATGTTCTTAGACTTCAACTCCCAGAAATCCTGGCCAGCAGAGGTGGTGGTGAAGGCTTCTGGGAGTTGCAGTCCAGGAACATCTGGAGGCCCAAGGTTGGGGACCACTGCTCTATATCACCATTAGAATAGTGTCCTTATTTCTGGATTTATATACTGACTTTCAATACAAATAAATGATCATATGACTTATATTACAGCACACACACATAATTAAAATATATCAAAAACACAAATCAAAACCAAAACTGAATGGTAAAAACAGCAGCATCAGTCTAAAACAAGAAAGCATAAAAAGCCTTAAGGGGGAAAAAAGAAGCTTATTTCAGGGAATACATCCCAAAATTTCAGCCCCATCACCAAAAAGGTATTGTCCTTTACACCTTACTGCAGTTTTTGATAGTGACATGCTAGAGTACAGGAACTCTGAAGCAGATTCTTATGTAAGATGGCAGTTCCTGAGTATATTCCACTCTCAGGTTGTTTAAAAGGTTAAATACACTATAATCTGAGCCTGGAAGTGAAGAGATGATCAGTGTAATTGGTACATGAATTATATGAAGCAATCTCACAGTTCCAGTTAAATTCTGGAAGCTGCATTTTAGTCCAGTTGCAGTTTCTAAATTGTCTTTAAAAGCAGCTTTGTGTAGACACTTGCAAATACCACAAGAGCTGGAATCAGCTAGAGCAAACCCAGGTCCGATTTCTCTAACAAAAGCTAAACAAGTGGATAACAAATACTCCTTTGTTCTGGCAATTTTATCCATTCATTCATTATAGTGTACACAGTTTTTTATGTATTGCACCCATAAAGCCTAGGGGGATTCTCTGTATTATACTTCACAAAATAGTAACAAGAAAGCATAAATATGGCTAAAGTGTAGAATGACAAGCCTGATTTCTGGATACCAAACAAACATCCTGTTTCAAACTCCTTAGCATTCCAGAAGCAGTTTGCCATGTGCCACGGTAGCTGGGAGCAAGGCACTATGTAGTTGCACGGTTCTCTGGCATATGGCAAGAGTCTCTGTCTTAGTGCAAAAGAGAACTAATTTTCTAAGATCTTTTCTAAGATCTGCCAGAAAATCATAGAAAGCAAAACTGCACCCCTATGTCTTTTCCTCTCTCATGTAACCCTCCCCACCAATTAAATTAAAAAATGGCTTTGAAAACAATCAAACCCTCCAATAATCCTAAGCCTTGATATATCAAATCAACTCTATATTTACACAGAGATGCTCAATGTATGAGTTGTATTTTTGCAAAAGCTAGTTTTTGGACTTTTCTTTTTCCTCTGTTGAAAGCACTAGTTATGCAGCTCACCCAAGCTATTTTCTTTCCAAAAATATGAATTTTATTAGTGAAAGGACTTGATAATAAACATTCCACTTACATTGGGATGTGCAAGCGAGTTCTCATCTTGGTATTTGATTGTAGTAGGAATAATTCCAGTTACTGTTTCTTTTTCAGTAATGATTTGACCAATATCCCCCACTTCTAGGGTTGCAGGTTCACTCTTGACTTCAGCAGATTCTGTTGCCTAATATAGGGAGGAAGATCAGAATAAGATTTACAAAATAGGCTTTACAGGTAAACTGATTCTGGTCTGAATAGTTTTTAGACACTGTTCACTTGTGAGAGTATACTGGTCATTCAGGAAATGTGCTCAGCAAAAAGAATTCCTAGTATTAAAGAATTCTACTTAAACTGACCCACTATACCAGGCTGGTCAACATGATATCCTGTAGCCTTCTGGGTCCCCCAGCATCACAAGATTTTTAATTTTTTTAAATTGGCTTCAAAATTCCCCTTCTGTTCTGCTATCTTTCAGGAATCTCCAGCATCCCTGCTCCCCATTTTGCTAATTCCCCCCAAAACCCTTTTTGTCACTGACTAGAATGTGCAAAGGGGCTTTTTCAGTACCCCCAACAATTTTTGTAAGAAAACATTTTGAGGGATGAGGTCAGAGCAGCAGCCCTCTAAGGTCCATCTACCCTGCTTTCCTAACTGGTTAACAGTTGCAAATCATGCAAGAAAGGAACCAAGAAAGGACTAGGTTTTCTTGGAGCCTGGAACGATAGATTGGGCAGAGAAGTCCCAAGTGTCTGAACTTGCTGATGGAAGTATTTTCTCTGGTTTTGACTTAAGATTCTATTTATATTTGTGGTCTTCAATATCCTAAAGCAAGGTTGGCAAGGAGCGTTCCTCCAGGTATACTTAGACTTCAACTTGTAAAATTCTTTACTATTAGCTATGCTGGCTAGGGCCGATGAAAGACAACATCTGGAGGAGTGTACTTTTCCACCTCTTTATTACATCTGCCACAATTATGTATATATTTATGTAAACAGAAAATAAAAAGTTGAGAGCAAGCTTTTTCATGAATCCACAAACCAATATCTATTTGCATCAGGGAATGTTTTGATACAGCAAAAACTGTCAAACATACCGTATTTTTCGCTCCATAAGACGCACAGACTTTCCACACCCCTGTTTTGTGGGAAAAAAGTGAGTCTTATGGTGCAAAAAATACAGTAAATTGCATTAATATATTAATTTTGCACCAGCTCACAAGAGGCTCCATGCAAAGAAAGAAGATCGAAAACTTACCTTTTTGACTTCTTTGCTTGATCTGAATGTTTGTGGAACAAAGGAGTCACTTTCAATTGCTTCAATTTCTCGTACTCGTTTCACTTGCTCTACAAGGCTAGTTTGGTCTACGGAAAATGGTATAATGTCAGTATGATTTAGCATTAAGATTAAGATCAGCACTACAATATTCTTCTAAAGTATTCCTTCTGCTCCAGAAATAGAAAGCACCAAGGTAAGCGGTGGTTCTGCCAGGGAGAAATATTTTTTTGCTTTATTCAGCAACAATGAATGGGAAGGCTGAAACAGGTCCAATAGTATTGGATTTTTTTTTTTTTTTTTTGCTATTTACACCAGTTACAAATAAGATGATGATGCTAACAAAGCATCTTCTTAATTTTAACTTTGATTCCTGTCACAATGAAGACAGACACATCTCTCCACACACCTCAAAAAAGAATGGAAATAGTTCACTTTAAACTTTGGTAGAAAAGACTTGATTATTATCTCTCCTGAAGCAATAAAAGGTTCAAGCATCATCTGGCAACAGTATGAATCTATCAAGGTAGCCTACCTAGTATACTGAGTACTAGTGTTAAACAATGGTGACTGATTCTGTACAGAGCCCACCGTATTTCTGAAGCACTTCTGTGAAACTATCTATACTCTATTCATATATTATAATAACAAGAGTCATGCGCTGTCAAATCAATTCTGACTTATGGTGACCCTTTTCAGGAATTTCCAGGTAGAGAATACTCAGAAGTGGGTTACCATACTGTTTTAATATTCCAAGAGTGCTTTCATGTCATTTAAAAAGGTTTGGGTTTTTTTTAAGAACTGAAAAAGCTGTTAAGTGTTCTGGAGTTTCAACTGCTTCCTTTTACTGATTGACTGCTTTCTTCTGAACTTCATTTTAATAAACATGAATATTGCATTTTTCACTTTTGATAGCAATGAAATTAGTAAGATCAGGCAAATATATACTGACAACAAAAAGATGCATCAGGACACAATTACTCTGATGCACACTGAGAAACCCAAAGTGAACCCACCTCATGACAGAAGGGGCTTTCAGATCACATAAGTATTACAGAACATACCAGGGGAATACAGGTTTCTGTGATATCTGTGAGGTTGGAAAATGTTTATGGAAAGCCTGGATTTGTGATGGAGAGAAGCCATAATTTATTATCTACCTATTATATACACATATCTTTCTTAAAAAGTATTAGAACCTCTGTTTATGGTTTGAGATGTTCACCTTATACTATGCTAAACAAGCCAGTCCTTTTGTAGAAGAGTATTTGAGTATTTATGCAAATAGACAATGCACGTAAATTTGATTATATAAAAGCTTTGCTTGTTCATAGGCAGGCAAAAAAATTACATAATATGTAATTTAAAGCTCACTCTGATAGTCACAATAGCCATGAAAAGGTGAAAAATTTAATGCTAGCATACTTGGCTAAAGAAGAAAAAAAGAAAAGAAAGAAACTTAGCATTGTTAATACAGTATACACTTTCTTCTCAAACTAGTGAACAGTGTTAGATAGAAGACTAGATTAAATGTTTCAGTGATACTTAGTATAAGCTTACATGCTCACTGAATGTGCTCTTACTATTAGGTGGTGACTGGGAACCTCTATATACATTAGAATGGACAAAATGAGATTTGAGATGATGAAAATTTATCATTTTTAGTATTATATATTTCCAACATTGCTCTTCAGCTAGTTGCCCATAATTTGGTGCTATCTTAAACTCCTATAATCCCTCATTCTTGGCCATATTTGCTGGGGCAGATAGCAGTATCCAAACCATTTGGAAGGCACCAATGTGGGAATAGCTGTTTTAAGGTCACATCAAGGGGAAGAAAAGGTGTTGTGGCATGTTTAAGACTACTACACTTATTTCAGTGTGAGCTCTGATGGATTGTGATCAACTTCTTCAGACACATGGAGCTCAATAGCTGAGCTACAGTTTACACACAGTCATATTGGTTTCTTTAAATCACATTATATACAATTACATTGTTGAATGTCACATGCTGCACTTTTGCTCCTGGTTAAAAAAACACATGGCCAGCAACAAATTCTTGCAAATTATTCCTCTGACAGAAATGCATACATGAAAATAAGATACATATACTTCTCCCTTCAATAACGCTGGGGTTAGGGTTGCTGGACCACCATGTAATTCAAAATCCATGTACAACTCTTATGCCCTGAAAAACTTAACTACAAAACATAAACAGTTGATTCTCTCTCATATATATAGTTTCTAGGACTGCTTTGCATATGCAGTGTGTAAGAAAAAATATACCTTTTGTCACATGTTACCAAGAGAGGTGATTCCCTCCCCCCCCCTGTTAATATATTCTCTGGAAAACCATGAGTAGATAACGGTACAGCCTTTGATATTTGTTAGTGCTTAAATGCGAATGACAATTATAGTCTAGGGATATGTCCCCAAGAGAAACAAAATCACAGAATGTTTTCCTGAATTACTTCAGTGACATGAACTGAATAAAATGGACTGGAAGGAAGCTGTATCCATTAGTCTACAATAATGTTGACAAACACATTATTGGTAGATAAAATGACTTCCATATAACGTCTGTCAGATGTCAGTAGAAAGGATATATATATTTCATAGTAAAATCAAAAATAATGGAGTCAGAAAGCTAAGAGGGTACAGACAAAAAAAATCAATACTAACTCATTGGACAGCAAGTCCTTTCACTCTGGTCAGACTGAAAATACAGAACTATTTGTATTAGTGACTGTTGATGCCATTTTTCATACATAAATCATTCCTTCCATAAGAATCACAATTAAGCTTGCCTCTCATCAGTTTGCTTCTTTTATTTTATTAGCAAAGATGAAACTGGGAGAGAATAGGAGAAATGTGAATACACTGGAAAACTATCAATATAGTTCGGTAGAGGATTTGGTAAGACCTCCACATGATACTTCAATTTCAATCTGTTCAAATCACATGTTGTTTATTTGGAAGTCAACACAAGCCTACTGTTGTAGTGATCCCATGAAAACAGCAGGTGGCACTCAATTACCAGTTAACCACAGAACAAGAGAAGGGGGACAGAATACATCTTACTGAAAAACAAAACTGTGGCTTATTCTATAGCAATATAAGCATATCTGCCTTACTGTAATTTGTATCTGTAAATGTTATTGTCATAAACTTCTAATGTGTATGCTGTTCCTATGCATAAATGAGTTCCTTTTTCATGGGCTAACTGTACTGCAGCATGTACCCCTACCACAGACCGACTAAAAAGGGGGGGGGGGAATCAAATTAACAGACAAGCATCAAGACAAGTTTAACATTTACAAAAATGAGTATGGACTGATGATTTTTCATCCTTATGCTTCAGATGATAGAGCTGAAGTGGGAATACCAAAAATGTTCATTTAACAGGAATAATATCATACAGCTTGTGACTTGACTTTAGTACCATTGCATTATCAGGATAATTTGAAGCACAGAGATTACCAGGAGGTTGGATTTGAGATCAGATGTGGTAAGTGAGTACTGTCCATAATGTGAAGGGCATCTGAATTTTTGAAAAAAGACAGTCTTAAGATAATTTGTTAACACTTTTCAGTACCAAAGGCTATTATTTTTAATATTCTGAAAACTTTAGACAACCAGAAGTCTTAAGATTCAGAACTCCCACCACTACAAGTAAATTGGTAAAATTTGCCACCAGGTAAAGTTGATAAAATTTGCCAAGAGCAGGTACTCACTGACTGTTTCAAAACCTTAAGTGTATTTTCCCCTCTCTCAGCAAATATTCCCTACCACTTTCATCATGTTTCATCATCTACCAGCTCCCTTCCACTGTCTATTTCCTGCTGCCATCCTCTTTCCTGCTCTCTTATCTTAATGCTTCTTTCAATAGAATATTCCTGTTCTTCCTCCAGCCTGTCTCTTATTTAAGACTGACTTGTAAAGAATACAGGAAAGGAGGAAATGTATGCTATGTAAGCCTGAATACATGCACAGAACACAAAGTGTTTTTTTCAGTGCTATTTTCACTTTTCTTGACTAAGAACATTAGACTTACGACCTCTTGTTTTCTATTGTTTCATGCCTGAATGCTTTTATAATTCATATGATGGCTATGCATAAATATTTTAGATCGCAATAGAGATTAGTCGAAAACCAAGTTCTCGGTCTTTTTAAAACCTAAGTCTTTCTAAAAATATATCATATTTTCCATGAGAATACTTGTGTATCTGGAAGAAAGGAAAAGAATTTTCAGCACTTCAAGGTTGTGTAAACATATGTATCCACACTTGTACACAGGTCTAGTTCCATTATGTTTTCAACAACCACAGCATTTGACACATCTATCAGATCGGTGACAAATCTTTGTACAATGCCCCCTTTTAATGACTAAAATGGAGTGGGGGGGGGAAAGAAGAGTAATGGAATCAGTGGAATCTGTTGGCTACATTTGAACTGAAAGCTTTAGCAGAGTCCCAAAACAGTGGATTAGCATAATGTATGGGGCCCAGACAATATGGAATGGAGCATACCAGGAGAAGATGAGTATGAAAGGGTACGAAGAATTATAAAATGGCAGAGGTTGTGGAATTCTACCAGAAGAAAGCCAGGCCACTTTAAGTGGTATCTTATACTCCTGCAAATACTGTAGACCTCATTCTCAATGTGAACAACAAAAAGGTTTGATAGAGCACCTTCCTTTATTACTATCTTCCTGTTTCTCAGTTTGTGTAGACAGCTGAAGTGCATAATGAATGGGGGAGGGAGAATGTACTTGCTGCAAATAGATAGACCAAGTATCATATGGATTAAGGCAGGGTTTCCAGGGAAATAGTCGCCTTTAGCAACATTATCATGAAGTTTTTACCTATGTTATATCAGTGATTCCAGACAACCTGGTTGGAATTAAATGAAAAAGCATATAATTATGAAGAACACTTGATGAAGCAGAGAATGAAATGATAGAAAACGCCAATAATGTCATTCAGGCTGAAGTAAGTTGGCTGAATTTTCACAGAGAAAATAAATTAAGTTTCTTCTGGTCGACAGGTTAGGTTGCAGCCTCTGCTATTACAACTAGCTGTCTGTTACA